AGAAGGCTCCGTAAAATATACCAGGTGAGTTCAACACTAAATTCCCCTTTCCTTCTTAAGTGAACACTTCAAATCAGGACAGTGCACTGCCACAGAAACTACTTAGCGCAGAGCAGGGCACATCATTGGTTGGGGATTTTAGTCGACTCTATCCAACCCTCCCCTTTTTTTCGGGAGTTGGTACGACCCCCCCCCCTCCCCAGGCCCTCTGTCCTTCCTCATCTCGAGCCGTCGAGCAGTGGGGGGGGGGTCAAAGTCAACCGCCACTCCCACACGCAAAACGTAAATACGACCCCCCCCCCTCCTCCCAAAAATGATCAAATACGACCCCCTCCCTTTACAACGTCCATGAAGCGAGAAAAATCAACTATCAAAATAAATTTTTCTCAGCCCAAATACGACCCTCCTGGCGACCAAATACGACCCCCCCCTATTGGGGATTCCCCAACAACGATGTGCCCTGGCGCAGAGTTACACCTGCGAAATAGTTTTACCATGCTTCGTTATAATTCACATGCCAGTTATTTATACCATTTTCACTTCTAGTAGGACACTTTTCAAGCCGAATCGGACACATCCCTTATATTGGGCCGTCGATTACCTGGACCATACTAGGTACTGCCGCAAGCCTCATCCGAGCACTCCCGCGAACTTTCTCAGCGTCATAATTTTCAGAATGTTTTATGAATTCTTCTCCTATGATTTTTTTGCAAAATTGCTATTTTTTACATGCGCACTAGCTGAAAGGATTGCTACACCGCTACAACGTAATTAAAAGTGTGCAGCTACGCAGGTGTGCGACTCTGCCCACTTTTCATCGCGTTACGAGTTTGAAGTTTTCATAACTTTTTTTTTCGGGGTCCCTTCTTTTCGCATTCAATCTTCACAAACCATATATAATTACAGATTTGCATTTATACGCCAGCACATTGACCCCCGCCCCTCTGCCCACGGCCTCTTTTGCGTCGTTTTGTAAATTTTTTTTCTTCGCAATTTTCGCCTTTTGGGGCTGTACCGGGCAGCTTCTCCCACTAGAAGCCCCACCCATCTCGCAGAAGCTCCGCCCGCTTTGAAAAAAAAGATCAAGATCGACAAGCTAGAGTCCGGTCTGGCACGTTATGGTCTCCCCGTCACCCGGAACGAGACAAGCTTGTTCCGGGTGACGAGGAGACCATAATGTGCCAGATCGGACTCTAACCTGCCGATCTGGACCGCTTTTTCAAGAGTGGGCGAAGCCTTCCTAAAGTATGCGGACTGTTTGTTACAGCCTTGAAAATCGAATATTTCGAAGAACAGATTGAAACTCCGCAAAAAATGGACGTGGTCGGGGGGGGGGCGTGGTCGGCTTTGAAAAAAAACTTAACTACGGTAACTTTCAAATGGCCTAGGATCAAAAGTGAGAGCTTTTGAATCCTTCGTACCCTGGAACGGTTTGACTGAGGTCAGGAGAAGATCGAATATACCATGAATTGAAGAAGTACCCTTTGCTTGGGACTAACCAGGAAGGTCGTTCAGGACGTGGCGCGCTTTTTCAAAATGGTTTGTTGCATGTTATAGGGGTAGGCCCATGATATACAGAAATGGATTTCATTTTTCCTAAATGGCCCTCTGAATACCAAATAAGGAGTGAAGAACATATTTCTCCAGAAATGAGTTTTTTCGCTTTGAAACATCTCCAAAAGTTGCCTATCACTAGTATAGTTCATCCTGAGCATATTAGAGGAACTATGACGACCATATTCCAAAAAAGGCGTGAAATCCGGCCACCGATAGAGCGCTATACACAGCCAGTCCTAGGAGGAGTACGAATGTTTTTTCAATCCGGAGACTAACACATCGATATTGATGGAAATGAGTTTTCTTCGTGATTAGAACGTCTTTATACACTTCGAGCCATTACAGATGGCTCAAAATAATTAGTGTTCAACTGTTCCATCTTCGAATTGATATCGAGAAAATCCTCACGGAAACTCGGTTTGTTGTGAAAAGCTAGGGCTCTGATCACTGCTACAACGCTCGATTTCAGGTTGCCTGAGTGATGCCTTTTCTTTTCTGTCTTATTCACGATTTTACCTCCTTACGTTATCTTTTCCATTTATCACCATGCAAACGCATAATTAACAACTATGATACAATTCTACAAAACAAGTAAAGCAGAGGCACTTATCGCACCAGCTACATCTCACAAACGCTAAAGCAGTGCAGTCGTTGTCTTCTTGGCAAGGGACAACAACATTGCCTTCATTGAACCCGTAATCCGTCGGTGTGGAGAACGGGCCGGGGTGTTCATCAACGTATCGAAGCATAAACAGAAGGCCTGAATGGAGCTTCAACTTTCTCCTCTCATACATGTTCGCATGGGTTTATCACGACCTTCCTTGTGATCCAGAACCAGATCACTATATAAGCCATGTTGCAAATGTGTCATACCTGGATATGTCTTTCTCACCTGCCCGAGTCGTTGCTCGCCTTCTTTCTTCTTTCCCGCCTGATTTTTCTGCTCCTACAAGGAGGGAAATCGCCATTGCTGATGCATTCAAAGGAACTCTGCTAAGCGCTCTCTATGGAGACATCGACGTAGACGAGGAAGAAGAAACGTTCCAGGTCAGTGTTCACGTGGATAGGCCGGCGAGCACCTTGTGAAGTAGAGTTTAGAATTTTCCTACTTGCCGCAGTTGCAGTTGTCTCTCGACGAAACAGAAGAAGTGAGCTGGACTCCCGACGCCGACAGGGACGATGGTTGTGATATGGATGGGTTGACTTCACAGAAAAGTGTCTTCTTCGATGGAAGGCTCATCCCAGAAAACACTGTAAGTTAAATCTCATGGTAATGTAAGGTCAAGAAGCATGTCTGGGTACCACAGATAAAGCAAGCCATCGCGCACTACAGAGGAACGGACAAGGGAAGTCGTTCTTTAGCATCCATGGCGAATCGTTTTAACTGGATCAGAACAGCACATCATATAAATCTGCTACGGAAGCTTGAGAAGAAAGGTAGTGCTAGTCATGAAAAGTATAAAAGTGATGGGAAATGCTATCGCAAATATCCCATTTTTCGTTCAGTCACGGTCGGGGAATCGAAAGTGGTGAAATTCCAGCGCCTTTCTGCTCTTCTCCGAGAACAAGTGCTTGAGGCCACCGAGCAAGGTAGGGCTTGAAATGTTGTACCTCGGCGATGTAGTGGGTAGTGCTTCGCTACATACACGCGCCCACACAGAAAATGACACATCAATTTCAGCGCTTCCGTTGTCATACGCGGTCATTCGACAGATGGCCATTAGGCTGAATACTGACCACAACCTCATCGAAGGTTTCAAAGCCTCGAAATCATGGATTGCCAGCTTCGTGCGCGAATGTGGTCTCTGCTCAAGGAGAGTGACGCGCTTCGTCACAATACGGAATATTCGTCAGAGGAAAGACGTGGAGCTGGAGGCAAATTCCTTTGTGAGCCGTATCAGGGAGGAAATGAAGAGATACCATCTATCTGCATTTGCCAATGCAGATCAGACTGGGATAAACAAAGAAATAGTTTCGAAAAGGTGAGCTTCGTCGGACAAACACGCGATATTAAGACAAGTCCTCTGTTGCAGAACGTTAGCTCCTTGCGGCTCAAAACAGGTGATGAGAGTGGTGCAGTCCACTTCATCACTGACGCACTCCTTCACTGTGCCCGTCATGTATGCCGACGGGCGGCTTGGAGACAACTTCTTGTCATCCTCCCTGAACGAGGAGGAGTCTTCCCGCAATGCGGGCATTGGCAGGCAAGCAACCTGCTGGTGATGGCTGGGAAGTCGCACATAATGACGAAGTCGCAGTGCCCTCGTTCGTCAAGGAGTGCGTGGTTGGGCCTCATCCCCTCCATTCACCATACTCCTTGTCGATAGCTGGGCCGGTTTCACGGATCACACTAATGTGTTGTCAGAGGTGCCGCAAGGGAAAGAACTTCGGTTAATGACAATCCCTGCAGGAGCAACGGCCCTCTGCCAGCCATTAGATGTGTATTTTTTCGGCCTATTTAAGCGATACATTCGTCGGATTTATGACCATGTTGCCCACTACCATCATGGCTTTACATTTGGCAGAGACAACATACTAAAAGTAAGTTCCTTCGTATTATTAATCGCACGTTCAAATACCCCTTTTCTGCAGATCGTCAGCCAGACTTACCGCCAATTTTGCGCGCCTAGGTTTCGTCCATGCGTGGCCTACGCCTGGGTTGTTGCTGGTTACGTTGATGAACACCCCGGGCCGTTCTCCACACCACGAATACCAAATAAGGAGTGAAAAACATATTTCTCCAGAAATGAGTTTTTTCGCTTTGAAACATCTCCAAAAGTTGCCTATCACTAGTATAGTTCATCCTGAGCATATTAGAGGAACTATGACGACCATATTCCAAAAAAGGCGTGAAATCCGGCCACCGATAGAGCGCTATACAGAGCCAGTCCTAGGAGGAGTACGAATGTTTTTTCAATCCGGAGACTATCAGTGCTGGCATGGTGGTCGGATGGCGCAGTGGATAACGTGGTGGACTGGCAAACGGGGGGCAATGGGTCGCAGATTCGAATGCGTTCGCAATCCTGCAGTGCGGGTATTTTGCATTTTTTCTAAAACTTTGATTTTCGTGCATTCAGACATCTATATTGATGGAAATGAGTTTTCTTCGTGATTAGAACGTCTTTATACACTTCGAGCCATTACAGATGGCTCAAAATAATTAGTGTTCAACTGTTCCATCTTCGAATTGATATCGAGAAAATCCTCACGTGAATAAGACAGAAAAGAAAAGGCATCACTCAGGCAACCTGAAATCGAGCGTTGTAGCAGTGATCAGAGCCCTAGCTTTTCACAACAAACCGAGTTTCCGTGAGGATTTTCTCGATATCAATTCGAAGATGGAACAGTTGAACACTAATTATTTTGAGCCATCTGTAATGGCTCGAAGTGTATAAAGACGTTCTAATCACGAAGAAAACTCATTTCCATCAATATGAGTCTGAGATGGCACGAAAAATCAAAGCTTTAGAGAAAAAATGCAAAATCACCGCACTGCAAGGATTCGAACCATCGAGTCTCCCCATTGCCCCGTTTGCCAGTCCACCACGTTATCCACTGCGCCATCCGACCACCATGCCAGCACTGATAGTCTCCGGATTGAAAAAACATTCGTACTCCTCCTAGGACTGGCTCTGTATAGCGCTCTATCGGTGGCCGGATTTCACGCCTTTTTTGGAAATATTCGTCATTTAGTTCCCTCTAAGTATGCCTCAGGATGAACTAGTACTAGTGATGAGGGGCAAGCAACTTTGAGAGTTTCAAAGCGAAAAAAACTCATTTCTGGAGAAATATGTTTTTCACTCCTTATTTGGTATTCGTGTCGGTGTGGAGAACGGGCCGGGGTGTTCATCAACGTAACCAGCAACAACCCAGGCGTAGGCCACGCATGGACGAAACCTGGGCGCGCAAAATTGGCGGTAGGTCTGGCTGACGATCTGCAGAAAAGGGGTATTTGAACGTGCGATTAATAATACGAAGGAACTTACTTTTAGTATGTTGTCTCTGCCAAATGTAAAGCCATGATGGTAGTGCCCAACGGTCATAAATGCAACGAATGTATCGCTCGAATAAACCGAAAAAATACACATCTAATGGCTGGCAGAGGGCCGTTGCTCCCGCAGGGATTGTCATTAACCGAAGTTCTTTCCCTTGGGCACCTCTGACAACACATTAGTGTGATCCGTAAAACCGGCCCAGCTATCGACAAGGAGTATGGTGAATGGAGGGGATGAGGACCCAACCACGCACTCCTTGACGAAAGAGGGCACCTGCGACTTCGTCATTATGTGCGACTTCCCAGCCATCACCAGCAGGTTGCTTGCCTGCCAATGCCCGCATTGCGGGAAGACTCCTCCTCGTTCAGGGAGGATGACAAGAAGTTGTCTCCAAGCCGCCCGTCGGCATACATGACGGGCACAGGTAAGGAGTGCGTCAGTGATGAAGTGGATTGCACCACTTCATCACCTGTTTTGAGCCGCAGGAGCTAACGTTCTGCAACAGAGGACTTGTCTTAATATCGCGTGTTTGTCGACGAAGCTCACCTTTTCGAAACTATTTCTTTGTTTATCCCAGTCTGATCTGCATTGGCAAATGCAGATAGATGGTATCTCTTCATTTCCTCCCTGATACGGCTCACAAAAGAGCCTGCCTCCACTTCCACGTCCTTCCTCTGACGAATATTCCGTATTGTGACGGAGCGCGTCACTCGCCTTGAGCACAGACCACATTTGCGCACGAAATTGGCAATCCATGACTTTGAGACTTTGAAACCTTCGATTAGGTTCTGCTTAGCATTCAGCCTAATGGCCATCTGTCGAATGACCGCGTATGACAACGGAAGCGCTGAAATTGATGTGTCATTTTCTGTGTGGGCGCGTGTATGTAGCGAAGCACTACCCACTACATCGCCGAGGTACAACATTTCAAGCCCTACCTTGCTCGGTGGCCTTCTAGCACATGTTCTCGTAGAAGAGCAGAAAGACGCTGGAACTTTACCACTTTCTACTCCTCGACCATGACTGATGAAAAATGGGTATTTGCTATGGCTTTTCCCCCATTTGTGTACTTTTCATGACTAGCACTACCTTTCCTCTCGAGCTCCCGTAGCAGATTTATATGATGTGCTGTTTTGATCCAGCTAAAGCGGTTAGCCATGGATGCCAAAGAGCGGCCCCTTGCTCGTCTCTCGGTAGTGCGCGAAGGCTTGCTTTATCTCTGGTACCCAAACATGCTTATTGAGCTTACATTATCATGAGATATGACTAACAGTGCTTTCTGGGATGAGTCTTCCATCAAAGAAGACACACTTCCTGTGAAAGTCAACCCATCCATATCACAACCATCGTCCCTGTCGGCGTCGGGAGTCCAGCTCACTTCTTCTGTTTCGTCGAGAGACAACTGCAACTGCGGCAAGTAGGAAAATTCTAAACTCTACTTCACAAGGTGCTCGCCGGCCTATCCACGTGAACACTGACCTGGAACGTTTCTTCTTCCTCGTCTAAGTTGATGTCTCCATAGAACAGCGCTCAGCAGAAGTCCTTCGAACGCATCAGCAACGGCGATTTCTCTCCTTGTAGGAGCGGTAAAATCAAGCGGGAAAGAAGAAAGGAGACGAGCGATGACTCGCGCAGATGAGAAAGACATATCGAGGTGCGACATAATTTGCAACATGGCTTATATAGTGATCTCGGTTCTGGTGGATCACAAGGAAGGTCGTGATAAACCCACGCGAACATGTATGAGAGGAGAAAGTTGAAGCTCCATTCAGGCCTTCTGTTCATGCTTCGATACGTTGATGAACACCCCGGGGTTGATATGGATGGGTTGACTTCACAGAAAAGTGTCTTCTTCGATGGAAGGCTCATCCCAGAAAACACTGTAAGTTAAATCTCATGGTAATGTAAGGTCAAGAAGCATGTCTGGGTACCACAGATAAAGCAAGCCATCGCGCACTACAGAGGAACGGACAAGGGAAGTCGTTCTTTAGCATCCATGGCGAATCGTTTTAACTGGATCAGAACAGCACATCATATAAATCTGCTACGGAAGCTTGAGAAGAAAGGTAGTGCTAGTCATGAAAAGTATAAAAGTGATGGGAAATGCTATCGCAAATATCCCATTTTTCGTTCAGTCACGGTCGGGGAATCGAAAGTGGTGAAATTCCAGCGCCTTTCTGCTCTTCTCCGAGAACAAGTGCTTGAGGCCACCGAGCAAGGTAGGGCTTGAAATGTTGTACCTCGGCGATGTAGTGGGTAGTGCTTCGCTACATACACGCGCCCACACAGAAAATGACACATCAATTTCAGCGCTTCCGTTGTCATACGCGGTCATTCGACAGATGGCCATTAGGCTGAATACTGACCACAACCTCATCGAAGGTTTCAAAGCCTCGAAATCATGGATTGCCAGCTTCGTGCGCGAATGTGGTCTGTGCTCAAGGCGAGTGACGCGCTCCGTCACAATACGGAATATTCGTCAGAGGAAGGACGTGGAAGTGGAGGCAGGCTCTTTTGTGAGCCGTATCAGGGAGGAAATGAAGAGATACCATCTATCTGCATTTGCCAATGCAGATCAGACTGGGATAAACAAAGAAATAGTTTCGAAAAGGTGAGCTTCGTCGGACAAACACGCGATATTAAGACAAGTCCTCTGTTGCAGAACGTTAGCTCCTTGCGGCTCAAAACAGGTGATGAGAAGTGGTGCAATCCACTTCATCACTGACGCACTCCTTCCTGTGCCCGTCATGTATGCCGACGGGCGGCTTGGAGACAACCTTCTTGTCATGCTCTCTGAACGAGGAGGAGTCTTCCCGCGATGCGGGCATTGGCAGGCAAGCAACCTGCTGGTGATGGCTGGGAAGTCGCACATAATGACGAAGTCGCAGGTGCCCTCGTTCGTCAAGGAGTGCGTGGTTGGGTCCTCATCCCCTCCATTCACCATACTCCTTGTCGATAGCTGGGCCGGTTTCACGGATCACACTAATGTGTTGTCAGAGGTGCCGCAAGGGAAAGAACTTCGGTTAATGACAATCCCTGCTGGAGCAACGGCCCTCTGCCAGCCATTAGATGTGTATTTTTTCGGTTTATTCGAGCGATACATTCGTTGCATTTATGACCATGTTGGGCACTACCATCATGGCTTTACATTTGGCAGAGACAACATACTAAAAGTAAGTTCTTCGTATTATTAATCGCACGTTCAAATACCCCTTTTCTGCAGATCGTCAGCCAGACCTACCGCCAATTTTGCGCGCCCAGGTTTCGTCCATGCGTGGCCTACGCCTGGGTTGTTGCTGGTTACGTTGATGAACACCCCGGGCCGTTCTCCACACCACGAATACCAAATAAGGAGTGAAAAACATATTTCTCCAGAAATGAGTTTTTTCGCTTTGAAACATCTCCAAAAGTTGCCTATCACTAGTATAGTTCATCCTGAGCATATTAGAGGAACTATGACGACCATATTCCAAAAAAGGCGTGAAATCCGGCCACCGATAGAGCGCTATACAGAGCCAGTCCTAGGAGGAGTACGAATGTTTTTTCAATCCGGAGACTATCAGTGCTGGCATGGTGGTCGGATGGCGCAGTGGATAACGTGGTGGACTGGCAAACGGGGCAATGGGGAGACTCGATGGTTCGAATCCTTGCAGTGCGGTGATTTTTGCATTTTTCTAAAACTTTGATTTTCGTGCATTCAGACATCGATATATTGATGGAAATGAGTTTTCTTCGTGATTAGAACGTCTTTATACACTTCGAGCCATTACAGATGGCTCAAAATAATTAGTGTTCAACTGTTCCATCTTCGAATTGATATCGAGAAAATCCTCACGTGAATAAGACAGAAAAGAAAAGGCATCACTCAGGCAACCTGAAATCGAGCGTTGTAGCAGTGATCAGAGCCCTAGCTTTTCACAACAAACCGAGTTTCCGTGAGGATTTTCTCGATATCAATTCGAAGATGGAACAGTTGAACACTAATTATTTTGAGCCATCTGTAATGGCTCGAAGTGTATAAAGACGTGCTAATCACGAAGAAAACTCATTTCCATCAATATCGATGTCTGAATGCACGAAAATCAAAGTTTTAGAAAAATGCAAAATCACCGCACTGCAAGGATTCGAACCATCGAGTCTCCCCATTGCCCCGTTTGCCAGTCCACCACGTTATCCACTGCGCCATCCGACCACCATGCCAGCACTGATAGTCTCCGGATTGAAAAAACATTCGTACTCCTCCTAGGACTGGCTCTGTATAGCGCTCTATCGGTGGCCGGATTTCACGCCTTTTTTGGAATATGGTCGTCATAGTTCCTCTAATATGCTCAGGATGAACTATACTAGTGATAGGCAACTTTTGGAGATGTTTCAAAGCGAAAAAACTCATTTCTGGAGAAATATGTTTTTCACTCCTTATTTGGTATTCGTGCGTCGTGGAAAACGGCCGCGGGCACTCCCTGTCGGCGTCGGGAGTCCAGCTCACCTTCTGTTTCGTCGAGAGACAACTGCAACTGCGGCAAGTAGGAAAATTCTAAACTCTACTTCACAAGGTGCTCGCCGGCCTATCCACGTGAACACTGACCTGGAACGTTTCTTCTTCCTCGTCTAAGTTGATGTCTCCATAGAACAGCGCTCAGCAGAAGTCCTTCGAACGCATCAGCAACGGCGATTTCTCTCCTTGTAGGAGCGGTAAAATCAAGCGGGAAAGAAGAAAGGAGACGAGCGATGACTCGCGCAGATGAGAAAGACATATCGAGGTGCGACATAATTTGCAACATGGCTTATATAGTGATCTCGGTTCTGGTGGATCACAAGGAAGGTCGTGATAAACCCACGCACACATGTATGATAGGAGGAAGTTGGAGCTTCCTTCAGGGCTTCCGTTCATTCTTCGATATGTCGACGAGCACCCCGGCCCGTTCACGACACCGACGGACTACGGGTTCAATGAAGGCAATGTTGTTGTCCCTTGCCAAGAAGACAACGAACTGCACTGCTTTAGCGTTTGTGAGGTGTAGCTGGTGCGACAAGTGTCTCTGTTTACTTGTTTTGTTGAATTGTATCATAGTTGTTAATTATGCGTTTGCATGGTGATAAATGGAAAAGATAACGTAAGGAGGTAAAATCGTGAATAAGACAGAAAAGAAAAGGCATCACTCAGGCAACCTGAAATCGAGCGTTGTAGCAGTGATCAGAGCCCTAGCTTTTTACAACAGATCGAGTTTCCGTGAGGATTTTCTCGATATCAATTCGAAGATGGAACAGTTGAACACTAATTATTTTGAGCCATCTGTAATGGCTCGAAGTGTATAAAGACGTTCTAATCACGAAGAAAACTCATTTCCATCAATATGATGTCTGAATGCACGAAAATCAAAGTTTTAGAAAAATGCAAAAATCACCGCACTGCAAGGATTCGAACCATCGAGTCTCCCCATTGCCCCGTTTGCCAGTCCACCACGTTATCCACTGCGCCATCCGACCACCATGCCAGCACTGATAGTCTCCAGGATTGAAGAAACATTCATACTCTTCCTAGGACTGGCTGTGTGTAGCGCTCTATCAGTGGCCGGATTTCACGCCTTTTTTGGAATATGGTCGTCATAGTTCCTCTAATATGCTCAGGATGAACTATACTAGTGATAGGCAACTTTTGGAGATGTTTCAAAGCGAAAAAACTCATTTCTGGAGAAATATGTTCTTCACTCCTTATTTGGTATTCAGAGGGCCATTTAGGAAAAATGAAATCCATTTCTGTATATCATGGGCCTACCCCTATAACATGCAACAAACCATTTTGAAAAAGCGCGCCACGTCCTGAACGACCTCCCTGGTTAGTCCCAAGCAAAGGGTACTTCTTCAATTCATGGTATATTCGATCTTCTCCTGACCTCAGTCAAACCGTTCCAGGGTATGAAGGATCAAAAGCTCTCACTTTTGATCCTAGGCCATTTGAAAGTTACCGTAGTTAAGTTTTTTTCAAAGCCGACCACGCCCCCCCCCCGACCACGTCCATTTTTGCGGAGTTTCAATCTGTTCTTCGAAATATTCGATTTTCAAGGCTGTAACAAACAGTCCGCATACTTTAGGAAGCTTCGCCCACTCTTGAAAAAGCGGTCCAGATCGGCAGGTTAGAGTCCGATCTGGCACATTATGGTCTCCTCGTCACCCGGAACAAGCTTGTCTCGTTCCGGGTGACGGGGAGACCATAACGTGCCAGACCGGACTCTAGCTTGTCGATCTTGATCTTTTTTTTCAAAGCGGGCGGAGCTTCTGCGAGATGGGTGGGGCTTCTAGTGGGAGAAGCTGCCCGGTACAGCCCCAAAAGGCGAAAATTGCGAAGAAAAAAAATTTACAAAACGACGCAAAAGAGGCCGTGGGCAGAGGGGCGGGGGTCAATGTGCTGGCGTATAAATGCAAATCTGTAATTATATATGGTTTGTGAAGATTGAATGCGAAAAGAAGGGACCCCGAAAAAAAAAGTTATGAAAACTTCAAACTCGTAACGCGATTAAAAGTGGGCAGAGTCGCACACCTGCGTATCCGCCCACTTTTAATTACGTTGTAGCGGTGTAGCAATCCTTTCAGCTAGTGCGCATGTGAAAAATAGCAATTGTGCAAAAAAAATCACAGGAGAAGAATTCATAAAACATTCTGAAAATTATGACGCTGAGAAGTTCGCGGGAGTGCTCGGATGAGGCTTGCGGCAGTACCTAGTATGGTCCAGGTAATCGACGGCCCAATATAAGGGATGTGTCCGATTCGGCTTTGAAAAGTGTCCTACTAGAAGTGAAAATGGTATAAATAACTGGCATGTGAATTATAACGAAGCATGGTAAAACTATTTCGCAGGTGTAACTCTGCGCCAGGGCACATCGTTGTTGGGGAATCCCCAATAGGGGGGGGGGTCGTATTTGGTCGCCAGGAGGGGTATTTGGGCTGAGAAAAATTTATTTTGATAGTTGATTTTTCTCGCTTCATGGACGTTGTAAAGGGAGGGGGTCGTATTTGATCATTTTTGGGAGGGGGGGGTCGTATTTACGTTTTGGCGTTGTGGGAGTGGCGGTTGACTTTGACCCCCCCCCCACTGCTCGACGGCTCGATGAGGAAGGACAGAGGGCTGGGGGGGGGGGGGGGGTCGTACCAACTCCCAAAAAAAGGGGGGGTCGTATAGAGTCGACTAAAATCCCCAACCAATGATGTGCCCTGCTCTGCGCTAAGTAGTTTCTGTGGCAGTGCACTGTCCTGATTTGAAGTGTTCACTTAAGAAGGAAAGGGGAATTTAGTGTTGAACTCACCTGGTATATTTTACGGAGCCTTCTCGTTTGTGCTTCATCGTTGAGAGTATCACAGAAGGGCTTCAACTCGTCAAAACTCAACATTAATTCGTTAACACAAAATGAATTCATGCTGCAAAAGATAAAAGTATCTTATTTGTTCATTATTTGCAGCTGTACAAAATGATACCGCCTTGAAAATCACAAATGTGTTGATAGGCAAACTCGCTCATCCGCTAAGAAGGGGAGCGAATTTGTGCAAAAAAAAATCGGAAATATCATCAAATCCTACATTGCAACACACACAAATCCGAAATGTACACTAGTTCGCTACGGATGAGGGGGCGTGTCAGGCAGCATGAACGTGCCATGGCGCCAAACCCGTTCTCTGCCAATTGTTGAATGCGATGGCATGCGACAACAACTGGTAGAAAACGAGAGATACAATACAATATGATATAACGATGTGATACAGTCTCGTCACTGGCTCGCTTCAACAACAGGCGGAAAACGGGTCTGGCTCGACGCCAAACTCATCCCGCATTTGGAAATCCTACTGAGAAATAATGATTGGTCGCAACGTATTTTATGGCAGGGCATTTTGGAAGAGCATGCTCTCGTTCCGCGATTCCCCTCCTTTCTCAACTCCACGAGTTTTTTCCGATCCATGGTTCGACGCGTCAGATCTTTTGGCACATTGGTTAACTCTTTCATTATCGAAAATCGTGAGTTCGTCTATTCTGCACCTTTGCAAGGTGTAAACGTGGCCTCAGTCAAACCACCTGTGACGGAATACGAAAAATCTTTTCCGCAAGAGATATCTGCTCCAGCAGCCCCGGAGGCCCACGCAAAAATTCTCGTAGTTTGGCTCATACCAAACCACTAAATGTCTAAATTTGCAGAATTTTGTGGAAATGGAGCGTTTCCAGGCTAATCATAGTAGAAAAAACCTATTGTGTTGCTAGAGTTAACGAGAATTCGCACCATATCACACTGACGCCATGATAATATTGGGAACCCAATTAATCTTCAGCCTGTTTGAATTTCTTGTCATACCTTGAACTGCCTTCATAGCTAAGGATAGTGAAGATGTCCTTCGATCCCGCAATTCTTCAGATCGATACTTATCTAATCGTTTTTCGGTTCTGTATTTCTTCAATTCCTCACTTCTCACCCTAAGCTATTAGGTTGTTCGGAAAGAAATGCGCGTTGAATTTGTCCATTTATTTCTCTCCTACTATAGAAGATTTTTCAAAACAGTTTTGTCTATTAGAAAGAGATTTTTATTGTGCATCTTTTGATATATTTTTGTCTATGTCTACTTCTTTTTTTTAGAGAAAGTTCGGCATTCACTGAAGCGTCGCATATGGATGTAATTCGATGCGCTGATCACGAATATCACATCCGTTTCGAGCGCTGGCGTCACCCACCACTTTTTTCACCAAAGTCGATGAAAACTTGCATATGGGGGTTAACCGACATCCTGATTACGAATATCACACTGGTTTTGAGCGCTGGCGCCATTTGGCGCCATTATGCGTCCAATATGGCGCCAAATTGGCGCGTAATGGCGCCAAATGGCGCCAGCGCCAAAAATAAATGTTGGATTCGTAATCAGGACCTCAATTAACCCCCATATGCAAGTTTTCATCGACTTTGGTGAAAAAAGTGGTGGGCGCCAAATTGGCGCATAATGGCGCCAAATGACGCCAGCGCTCGAAACGGATGTGATATTCGTGATCAGGACATCGAATTACACCTATAGGCAACGTTTCAGCGAAAATTTTTTTTTGAGTTTTTGGGGTAGGAATAGTTCAATAGTGCCGAAAATCAATTCCGGTCGATGCAGCACTCCCTGGCCGAGAGAAAGTTCACAAACCGCGAAGAAGTCCAACTCTGGGTGTCCAACTACTTTGAGTCGCAGCCGGCCGAGTTCTTCGAAAGAGGAATCCATTCTTTGCATAAACGTTGGCAACAAGTCATTGATAGTAATGGAGATTATCTTTTGAATTGATCTTGTTTAATTTCGTTTTATAATAAAAAGTTTTTTAGACTGAAACGCGCATTTCTTTCCGAACAACGTAATATGGAAATAGTTTTTACCACAAGAAAGTCAAAAGAGACGAGTCTAAAGGAGAGGCCCAAGTCGTTGATGAGGAAAACGATGACGAGGCACATTGGAAGAGGATGGTCCGCGAGATCACAGAAAAAACGAGTTTCGAAAGTTCCGGACAGGCTGAAATGTCAGCCGAATTGAGTCAGGAGAACCCAACGATGTCAGCCGAATCGAGTTATGAGCACCCAGCAGTGTCAGCCGATTCGAGTCATGAGAACCCAACAGACGAGGAGCCAACACCCAAAAAAAGGGCAGACTGGCATACAGTAATCGCATGAGTTTCTTAGAGGAAAAACGGAACAGAATGCAACACGATCTCAGTCGATACCCTTATAGGGATCGGGGTGATCGGTCCCTTGGAATTGCTCCTTGGACCCGATGCGCGTTCTGCGAAGAAGAAGGTGATCACTTCTCAGATGCATGTCCTCGAGTTCGTGATGGAGATTCGCGTTATGATATTGTGAACCAAAAGGGACGGTGCATCCACTGTTTGGAAGGTCCACGAGGCCATCACTGTAGATACAGGACGCGTGAGTGCTGGTATTGTTTTAGGCTGAGTTCGACTGTATTTGCAGATTTGAGACCAGGTGACGGAGGCCTCCACCATCGCGCGTTA